TTCAGCATAACAACTAAAAATTACCAAAACTATCTGCTAAGGCAAGAAGAGGTCTCATTACTACATTAAGTAGATTAATCTTGTTCAAGTTAAAAGGATAGGTGCCAACTGGAAGCTTTGTCACTGACTACCCAGTTTTAGGGCACAGATCCAGGGCAGAAAGAGAAGGTGATCAGTGCACAAGAGTGGCATTGCAGGGTAAGGAATGGTAGCAGGATCTAGATAAAACTGAGAAAGCACCAAGTTCAGAGGCAAGCAGCATCTGTACGGCTCTGACCAAAAGAGTGAAGTGGGGACTCAGTTCCAGATTCTAATCAAGTCTGGATTCTGTGAGGGATAAACATGGCAAGTATCCTATACCACTGGGAAGCCTATCACTCTGAAACTGCATAACTTAGAAGCTAAGTCCAACAACAATCTGCTAGAATTTCAACCACAGGTAATTCAACAGGTATGTTGCTCAGACATAAACTCGGGTCAAAAATTTGCAGAGCTCAGACAAGGAGGGCAGAAATCAGACATTGCCCTGAATCAGGCCACTTCAGGAAAAATGAAAACTTACAGGTCTTCAGCCTGAGCTGTTGCAGAGATCCTGGAATCCAACATTTAATATCCATAAGAAAGCAGAAAAATGACCATAGGGTTGTTTTATACTAAGTTATCTGGAATACTTTTTTTTTCTATTAAATGAAATATATATGCATTAGAACTGCTAAAAGTATACCTTTCTATCAAAATTATATCAGGATGGTTATTGTATCAAACTCTTAAATTCACAATTTGTGCATAAGAAAGCATAAAATCAGAGATACAGGTAACATAAAACCCAAGTGATAGTTTGTCTATCAAGAGATATGCAATGACCATACATGTAACTACATAAATAATGAAGAGCATGACATGAAAGGCTTAATATTTCTAATAAATAAGTCATTCTTGGGTAGCCTTCAAAATATGAAGACAAAAATAAATGGAATGACTGACTCACCAGAGGGATGAAGAAATTAATAAAGCTGTTCTAAGCCATCCAACCTCTAAATCCATGCAACAAATAACCTACTCAAAGGGCTAAGTCATTTGAACTCTAATTTGTAACTTCTATAACAAATAATTGAATAAAAGGTCCACTAGGGCCAGACAACATTGAGAATAGCAATTTTAGACGCAGTATAACCTCAGTGATTTCGCACAGATGGGAGTGATGCACTTTCTACATTTTGGAATTGGCCAATTATCTAAAGTATGAAAATGCTGACTAAAAGAATTGTTTTGTCATGATTTTGTCACATCTCACAACAGAGGCAAGAATATATATTTGTGTGTATATATATGTGTGTATATATATATATATGTGTGTGTATACATATATACACACATATACATATATCTATACATATATGTATGTATATATTAGACATGGAAAACTGCTTGTTCTGGTAGTGTCACGATACAATTTTTTTTTTAACCATTATATACATCTGGGACACAAATGATCAATCTTCAATCATTCAGTAATTTTCTATCTTCAAGAAATTTAAAAAAAATTATACTACTTATCATAGTAATAGATTGACTATGTCAGTGTTCATACCATTAATATTTTTCATTTCCCTACTTTAAAAAATAGCAAAGAGAACAACAGTATTATGATCAGAAACTATTGTATGCATTTTGTATAAAACCCTGAATAGCTCATTAAAATTAGCTCATATCTCCACTGTACTCTATGGTTTTACTAAGTACTTGAATCACAAAAACCCTGGGAGGTATGTAACACAATGATTACTATCCCATTTTATAGACAGACAAATTGCAACTCAGAGATATGTGAATGAGTAAATCAACAAACATTATGTAATCAGAAGTGATTGTCAGTCACACAGCTAGTAAATGGCACAACTAAAACTCAATGAACTCAAGACTTTCATCTCAAAGTCTAGTACTTCTTACAGGCATACAAAACATATGTTTTAGGCAATATTTAAAGAAGGAAGAATTAACAAACTCCAAAGTGAATTCCAGAAAATTCCATCACCCCACTAACAAAGTTAAGGTAAAGGACCACTTATGTTTAGGATAACTATGATGGAACACAATTTCTTCTAACATATTGGAAATTTTGCAATTTCAACAGTCAAGGAACAGGAAATAAGACCACAACTTACAGGGAAGTTACTTAAACCAATGAAAACCTCTTGATCACACTCTTCCTACCCTCCCCCTCCTCCCCCCCCAAAACAGAAATGTTTAGAAAATTTAAAAAGGGAATTTCTTGATTTTAATTGCTAACCTGAAAGTTTTTTTAGAGGGTAGTCTATTGGTGACCTGGGCTCTTTTGCCAACTCTCACTTTGTCATTGGGCTGGAAGGCTTCAAAATATCAGTTTCAATGGAAGAAAAACATATCAAAATGGATTTTGCAATTGAAAGTACCTTTGACCCCTGTGGCCCTTCTCCCTAATTACCTGGTTTCTCCCAGAACTTCCATTTTAAGAAGTTAGTCCAGACCAGCCATGTCTTCATTTTTCTCCAGGCTGTATTACTGACTAACATGGCCATTTTCTCCAGTGCCTCTGTGCTAGGTACCTTTCCTCTCTCTTCCTCACACTCCTTAAGCTACTTTTATATGCTGTCTTCCTGTTATAATGTAAGGCCCTTGAGTGCAGAGACTGATGGGTTTTTGTTGTTGTTGGGGATTTTTTTTTGCCTTTCTCTGGGTCCACAGCAATTAGCACAGTATATAGCATTTTGTAGGTACCTAATAAATGGCAGTTGACTTGACTTACTTGACACATTAAAAGATAGCAGCCAAATACCAGTTTAAAATATAAACTCATATGGAAAATCTTAGAGAAAAGAATAGTAGCAATGTTTGAATAGAATTGTTCACAAAACAGAGAGAAGCATCAGAAGGTAAAATCAGTTTAAAGAAAGCCTGGTGAAACAAACTGTTGAAAACAACAAAAGAAAACAAATATAAAAAGATTAACAAAATTAGCAAAAATCAACATCAGAGGGACTTCAGAAGACAAACTAATACTCTATTGGCTCAGGTGGGTACTGGCCCAATAATTCTGGAAAGCAATTTGGAATTATGTGGAAAAAAGTAACCAAAACATTCAGAGATGGGAGATGGAAGTGTTGTGTGTCAGTTAGCAAAGTTTGGCTAGATCTCAGAATATAGAAGACAGAGTAATGTCCCAGGAGACTAGAAAAGACAATCTGTTTTTGTTGGTGGTGGTGGTTTGTTTTTTTTTTTTTTTTTGATGAGGCAATTGGGGTTAAGTGACTTGCCCAGGGTCACACAGCTAGTAACTGTTAAGTGTCTGAGGCCGAATTTGAACTCAGGTCCTCTTGACTCCAGGGCCAATGCTCCATCCACTGAGCCACCTAGCTGCCCCTAGAAAATACAATCTAGAGGCAGGCTGGGTGGGGCTTTAAATGGTGAGCACAAGAGCTTATATTTTATCTTAGAGACAACAGGAAGGAAGCCACTGAAACTGGTTGGTTCTACAAGGGTCATATGGTCCAATCTGTGCTTAAAGAAAATTACTCTGGTAGCAGTGTGTAGGATGGACTGGAGTGGTGAGATATTTGAAGCAATTATTATTATTATTACTATTACAATTATTATTGAGGCAATTATTGCTGTAATAATCTAGGTAAAAGAGGATGAGGGTCTGAAATAAGTTGGCAGCCGCTGTGAGAACAGACAATAGATAAGATGTAAGAGACATGAAAACAGAAACATTAAGATCTGGCAACTGATTTGATATGTGGGGTAAGGAAGAGTGAGAGTGAAAGATAATGCTGAGATCATGAACCTGAGACACTGGAAGGATGGTAGTACCTTTGATAAAAACAGGGACATTTGGAAAAGGAGACTGTTTAGGGGGAAAGATAATGAGTTCAAAGAACCTTGGAAAAACCTAAATGAATTTCTATATTGTCATATGAGGTCATCACACTGAGTATTTTTAACTTTTTCTTTGTTAAAAGGGAGGATTCAATTCTAGTATGTGGGGTATGGGGTGTGTGTGTGTGTGTGTGTGTGTGTGTGTGTCAGAGAGAGAGAGAGAGAGAGAGAAACAGAGTGACAGACATATGGTAGGAAGTAGGGGAGAGAGGGAGACACTTCCAGAGGTAACAAAAAAGACCTCAACAAAATATATTTTAAAAATGAAAATCATGATTATGAATAATTAAAACAGATATGAGAAGAAATACAAAAAGTAATTCTGAGAGGAAACCCAAAAATATGCACAGTAACTATGTCTATGAAAATTAAACCAACACTAACCAACTGATTAAAGTTCTAGTGAAAATGCATTTGGTTAAAATCCACAGAAATAAGTCTGGGATGGGTTTTGTTCAGTCGTTTCAGTTGTGTCTGACTCTGTGACCCCATTTTGGGGTTTTCTTGGCAAAAATGCTGGAGTGGTTTGCCATTTTCTTCTCCAGCTCATTTTTCAGATGAGGAACTGAGGCACAGGGTTAAGTGACTTTCCTAGGGTCATACAGCTAGTAACTGTCTGAGGCCAGATCTGAACATAGGAAGATGAATCTTTCCAACCTTAGGCCTGGTACTCTAGCTACTTCAACACCTTTGGAATAGGTTATGTAAACAAATTCTGTTATGACAGATATATGCTTTCTTCATTTAGTATTTTTTTTAAATCTGAAAATAATAGAAGTTTGTCCTTGTTTTTCCTGTTTTCCTATCTTGTGGGTATATTTGCTGATTAAAGCTAAAATAAAATTTATTCTGGAAAAAACTGCTTTTACCTATTCTATTTCAATTTTGGGGAAATCACTAACTTTTCTATAAACAACAAAGTACACTCAGTTTCCTAAGCCAACAAAGCTAAACCAAATGTTCTGATGAAAAAGAAACAATTTTAATGCACCTTTTCTTCTCTTTGTAATAGAGTGCTATTATCTGCTTATTTTTAATCAATACATGAAATATAAACACATATGAGAACAGTCTATAATACTTACATATTTTGAGACTCCTGGCTTACTGAAGAAACAGAATCAGAACCTTTTACAGGAGTAGGAATTCTTTCTGAAAGCAAGCTGGTCTATAAAATAAAATCTGATATTAATTAGAAATGCCATTACTAATATGCATTGCTCAAAAGTGGTTTTATTGTGAATAAAAATATTCATAATCTCGCCTGAACTCACGTTTTTCAAGTAATTTATTATGTAGAACCCCTTGCAAAGCACTCTACAAAGTACAAAACCAAAGAATTTAATAATCAACTTATCAGCAAGGATTAGACAACAAAGGATGACCGCTGTGGGGTTGTGATATGTATCAGGATATAGGGGAAAAAAAACAATAGCATACAATGAATGAACTTCACTATACAATCAGATCTCAAATATTCTAACATTAGCAAGGAATTATTTAGAATGCACTGAATATCATTTATTGGAATATGTACCCATATGTAAGGGTATGATTCCCCATGTGGACAGAGGGAAAAGAGGGAAGTAGAGATGGAGAAAAGAGAGAAGAGAGGAAGGAAGGAAGGAAGGAAGGAAGGAAGGAAGGAAGGAAGGAAGGAAGGAAGGAAGGAAGGAAGGAAGGAAGGAAGGAAGGAAGGAAGGAAGGAAGGAAGGAAGGAAGGAAGGAAGGAAGGAAGGAAGGAAGGAAGGAAGGAAGGAAGGAAGGAAGGAAGGAAGGAAGGAAGGAAGGAAAGAAGGAAGGAAGGAAGGAAGGAAGGAGCGTTGCCCAACTGAAACTGGCCAGTAAAGAGCACCAATGACATCAGGAGGGTGATGTCTGCTTGCAAGTGAATTGCATTTAAGTGAACCAGGGCTGTACAAAGTCATTAGCCTCACTCTCTCCTTCAATTGTTTCTGTTCTGGCCAGAAATCCTGAGGGTCTTCCCATCCCAGTTTGATTTCTGTTTGTTTTTTTTTCTTTTGAGTAGGCAAACTAGCCCATTTTTTAATCTCATTTCTTACCCAGCCTTAAATCAATGAATGGGTGTTGCCTCAGACAAATTGAGACCTGGGAAAACCCTTGGCTTAAAAATGCCAAGGTCTACCCACTCCATCTGAGGCCATCTCCAGAGTTCCTGAGCTATGTCTTGCCAATGGACTCAAATGACTCTGGAGGAGACAGTGAGGCTGATGATTCTGCACAGCACTGCCCCCACTTAAATCCAATTCACTTGCAAATCATGCTATCCCCCTCCTGATGTCATTGGTTCCCTTTCAGAACAAAGGACAAACAACAACACTTATATTACAATAAATCTCCCCCATCACAAACACTCATCCTAAAAAAGAAACTGATAAAAGTGCTCAATACAACAAAATACATAATGGAAAAAGTAATACTATATGTATTTGAAATACAGATTTGGCCAAAGTTTCAACAAATTCTAAAAAAAAAAATAGCTATCAGTTACCTTTTTCCAAGCCTTAGCAATAGAGTCATGCAAGTTATAAGGAATTAACACCTGAAGACCTTCACAGGTGCTATACATCTGGCGGCATACTGAAATGAAAGCTCCTTTAACCACAGGCAACATCTCAGATCCAGAAAACACAGAAATATCCTCATCAAGAAGCTTCTTTGAAAACTGGGCAATTAAATGAGCACCTGTGGGGCTAGAAGAGAACACCATGAATTCTGACTCTCCATTCTGAATTTTTGAACCATTTTCAGAATACCAAAAGTCTAATCTAGTTCTGTCCTTCCTCAGGACTCTTTATATTACTGCTCCTGCCTTATCTGTATGGCAGTGACTTCTGAAGCATCAGAAGCAGGATACAGGGGAAATTCAAGGAGAATTGATAGGAGGGAGATTAAGAATGTAATCACACCTAAATATGCTTCATTTGGGGATAGAACTATATTCCTGAGTTCCCTTTACTCAGTACTTAACCATATTTATAGTACTTAGTTTTCCAGTACAAGAATCAGAATTAGGTTACAGTTTGAAATGGCTCTCCTCTACTTCACTGTTGTTTTGTTGTTGTGGTTCAGTCATGTCTAACTCTTCCATGACCCCAGTGAGGTTTTCTTGGCAAAGATACTGGAGTGGTTTACCATTCCCTTCTCCAGCTCATTTTACACATGAGGAAACTGAGGCAAACAGGGTTAAGTGACTTTCTCAGGGTCACACAGCTAGTGTCCGAGGCCAGATTTGAACTTAGGAAGATGAGTCTTCTTGAACTGAGGCCCAGTATTCTATCCACTGTGCCACTTGCTGCCCCTCCTCTACTTCATAGAATGGATTCAATCTTATCCTCTCCTGTCTTCTCTAGCAGATTATTGCCTCCTCAATCATTCAGCTCCATTTTCTCATATCCAATATCTTCCTACCTAATGATTCATTCTCCGAAGTCTATAAATATGCCTAGGTCTTTTTCATCCTTGGGTTAGGGAATCCTAATTTGATCCTACCATCCCCTCAAACTATTATTCTATACCTCTCTTCTTTCACAGCCAAACTCTTAGAGGAAGAAAAAAAGGATGCTTATACTCCTTGCTTCTGTTTCCTCTCCTCTTACTCACTTCTCAGCCCCTTATAATGACCCTATCATTCAACTGAACTATTCTTTCCAAAGTGCCTTTTCTCAGTCCTCACCCTTCTTGACCTCTCTGTAGCATCTGACACTGTTGGCTACACCCTACTCCTACATACTGCCACGAATCTGGATTTTTGTTTTTGGTTCTCCTGTCTTCATTGCTCCTTCTCAACATGCTTTGCTTGATCACCATATATATTGGGTCCTGTAGATAAAGCTGTACTTAGAAACAGGTTCTTTCCTGAACTCTGGTCACTTGTTCTACTCTCCCAGTTACCTGACCAAGACCAATGGGTTCAATTACTATCTCTATACAGATGAATTATTTTAGCCTCCATTTTCCGAGCTCCATCCTACATTACCAATTGCCTTTCAAACATTTCAAATATACTATAGGCATCTCAAACTCACATCATTGAAAATAAAAATAATTTCTTTCCATCAAATGTTGAGCTTCCATATTTCAGCTGAGGGCACAACAATCTTCCAGTCAGCAGGGTTACAAATTTGTGATCATCTTCAACTCCTCACTTTCCTTCACTTCATTTATTCAATCAGTTCTTATTTTCATTTCATCTCCCACAATATATCTTATATCTGTCCCCTCCTCCTCAATCACATGACCACCACCCTAGGTCAGACACTCAATACTTGTCAACTAGACTATGACAATAGCCCCTAATTAGTCTTCCTGCTAAGTCTTTCCTCTTTCTAATTCATCTAACAAACAGATGCCAGAATAATATTACTAATGCACAGGTATGATCTCATCATTCCCCTGCTCAATAAACTCTAATGTCTCCCTATTGCCTCTCAGATGAAATACAAGCTCCTCTAACTGGCATTTGAAGACATTTATAATCTGTCTCCACCAACCTGCCAGTCTTATGATATGCTCTTGATGAAACAACCTCACTTCTTGTTATTCCTCCCTCACAACATTAAACTGACTGTATCTGAGTCATTGCACCAGCTATTCCTCAAGCTTGGAAGACACCTCCTCCTCACTTCTGCCTTTTAACTTCTTTCAGAACACAGCACAAATGCCACCTCCTACAGAAGGCCTTTCCCAAATCCTTCCTCGCCCCTCTCGCTGCAATACCTTCCTACTGAAGTCATTTTGTATTTATTCTTCATGTAAATGCATACATACTGCCTCCTCCCACTAGAATATGAGCTCCTTGAGAGAGAAGATATTTATTTTTGTCTTTATGTGACTAGAGCACTGAGGTGACAGATGGGAAAGCAGAGGGCTCTCCTGTTACTTTCACAATGTTAGACAGTGAGGATTGCCCTGAACACAAAGGCTGGTACCCTGAGATGAATTTTTGGTGAAAAAGACAAAAGTTACACTAGATGGGCAGAAATGTACAGGTTGCTATCCACTGGTTGCTATTTTTGGAAGGAACTCCCACACTGATAAAGTGATAGATCCATCTGAGTATTTGATTATTTTCAGAAATTTTCACAGTTATTGGCACAAAGTAGGCACCTTATTTATTGAATGTTTGATAAGGTTATTTCCAAAAAGAGCAACTTACTACTCAGTAGAAAATATACAAACATTTCAGAAGTCCCCAGCCCAGGGTAGGCCACACTTTTTGCAGTTAACCCCATGGTCATAACAACACTCAAGCTTGCCCCCATACACCACTTGGCAAGGCCTTGCTTAGAGCTCTTCTGAAAATTATCAGGTGGGCTGTGGGTGGTCAATAACCTTTGTCAGCCATGGCAGAGTTGGTAAATTATTTTTTTCATTATAATATATAGTAGTATAACTGTTTTTTAAAATGATGCCAATAGGGTGGAGCAAGATGGCAGAGAGAAGCCAGGAAGTTGCCTGAGCTCACCCCAGTTTCCCTAGGAAACAATGCTAAATCAAGCCTCTAAATGGATTCTGGAGTGACAGAACCTACCAAAAAAAAAAAAAGAGTGAAACAATTGTCTGGCTTAAGATAACTTAGAAGGACTTCAAGAAAGGTCTGTCTCACTCGGGTAAAAATGAAGCACAGCCCAATGCAGATGGTGCAGGAAGCTTTCGGTCACAGTACAGATCAGCAGCCAAGGCTCAGCAGGCTAGTGGAACAGCAGTCCAGTTGTGAGCCTCCAGCCCCAGTTCAGCAGGCAAACTGCCAGCCCTGGAAGCCTAGCACAACAGGCGTGACTATGTGGGGCTACCCCAGCACAGCAGGCAAGCCACCAGCACCTGAAGCCCTGGCATGGAAAGCCAGTGATCAGGCCACTGGCCTCCAGCACAAGAAGCATGGAACAGTGCTCCCTGTTTCCCAGAAATCAACTTTAAAAAATGAGCAAAAACACAATAAGAGCCCTGACCATACAAATCTACTATGGCAACATGGAAGATCAAAACATAAACTCAGAAGAAGACAACAATGTCAAAATGCCTACATGTGAACCCTCAAAAAGGAATATGAACTGGTCTCAAGCCCAAAAAGTCTTCTTGGAAAAGCTCAAAAAGGATTTAAGAATCAAGTAAGAGAGACAGAAGAAAAATTGGGGAAAGAAATGAGAGTTATGCAGGAGAATTATGAAAAAAAGCCAACAACTTGGAAAAAGAAGCACAAAAATTGACTGAAGAAAACAACTCCTTAAAAATAGAATTGGCCAAATGGAAAAAAAAAATCCACTGAAGAAAACAACTCTTTTAAAAGTAGAATTAGCCAAATAGAAAAGGAGGTACAAAAGCTAACTAAAGAAAATAATTCCTTAAAAATTAGAATCGGACAAGTAGAAGCTAATGACTCTATGAGCCATCAAGTCTCATAGTCAAACAAAATCAAAAGAATGAAAAGATAGAAGAAAATATAAAATACTTCATTGGAAAAACAAATGATTGGGAAAATAGATTTAAGAGAGATAATTTAAGAGCTCCCTGAAAGCCATAATCAAAAAAAGAATCAAGAAATTATCAAGGAAAACTGCCCTGATATCCTAGAAGCAGAGGGTAAAATAGTCATTGAAAGAATCCACTGATCGGCTCCTGAAAGAGATCTCAAAATGAAAGTTCAAAGGAATGTTGTAGCCAAATTCCAGAATTATCAAGTCAAGGAAAAATACTGTAAGCAGCCAGAAAGAAATCATTCAAATATCAAGGAGCCACGGTCACAATTAAACGGGACTTAGCAGCTTCTACATTAAAGTATCAGAGGCCTTGGAATATGATATTCCAGGAAGGCAAAGGAGCTTGGATTACAACCAAAAATCAACCACCCAGCAAAACTGAGCATAATCTTCCAGGAGAAAAGACAGCTATTCAATGAAATAGGGGCCTTTCAAACTTTCATAAACAGAAAATTCAATCTTCAAATACAAGGCTCAAGAGAAGCATAAAAAGGTAAACAGGAAAGAAAAAAATGTTATTCAATAAGATTAAACTGTTTACATTCTGACACAGGAGGATGATACTTGTAACTCTTGAGAACTGTATCTCCATTATGGCAGAATACATAGAAAGACGGTGTGAGTATAAGAAGACATTGATGTGATGATATTAAAAAAAATAAGTGGTGGAAAAAAAGGATTATACTAGATGAATAGGAAAGGGAGAGGCAGAATAGGGTAAATTACATTACATGAAGAGGCACAAAAGACCTACTGCAGGAGAGGGAAAGAAAGGAGGATTTGACGATAGTTTGAACCTTACTTTTATTGGATTTGGCTCAAAAAGGGAACAATATACACACTCATTTGGGTATGAAATTTTACCCTATAGGGAAGTAGGAGGGGAAAGAAAAAGGAAAGGAAAGGCAGAGCTAACAGAAGGGAGGGCAGAAGTAGGAGGGGAAAGAACAATAAAGGTAGAAGGGCTTATAGAAGGGAGGACAGACTGAAGGAAATGGTAGTCAGAAGCAAAACACTGGTCAGGAGGGAAAGGGTAAAAGGAGAGAGAAAGGTATAAAGAGGGGGAAAATAAGATGAAAAGAAATGCACAGTTAGTAATCATAACTGTGAATGTTAATGGGATGAACTCTCCCATAAAATGGAAGTGGATAGCAGAGTGGATTAAAAACCAGAATCTTACAATATGTGGTTTACAAGAAACATATGTGAAGCAGAGATACACACACAGGGTAAAGGTAAGGGGCTGGAGCAGAATATATTATCCTTCAGCTGAAGTAAAAAGAAGCAGGAGTAACAATCCTGATCTCAGACAAACCAAAAACAAAAAGAGGTGTAATTAAAAGAGATAAAGGAAACTACATCCTGCTAAAAGGCACCACAGACAATGAAGTAATATTGGTACTAAACACATATGCACCAAATGGTTATAGCATCCAAATTTCTAAAGAAGTTAAACAAGTTTTAGTAGGCAAAACTATTCTAGTGGGGGTTCTCAACCTCCCCCCCCCATAACCACAAAACAGACATGAAAGCAGGTAAGGAGGTGAATAGAATTTTAAGTCAGATAGACATCTGGAGAAAACTGAATGGGGATAGAAAGGAATATACCTTTTTTTCAGCAGTACATGGCACCTACAGAAAAACTAACCATGTATTAGGGCATAAAAACCTCACAATCAATGCAGACAGGCAGAAATATTAAATGCATCCTTTTCAGATCATGATGCATTAAAAATTACAAGTAATAATGGGTCATAGAAAGACAGACTAAAAATTAATTGGAAAGTAAATAATCTAATCCTAAAGAATGAGTGGAACTAACAACAAATCATGGAAACATCAATAATTTCATCAAAGAGAATGATAACAATGAGACAATATGCCAAAACTTAGGGGATACAATGAAAGCAGTTTTTAGGGGAAATTTTGTATCTTTAAATGTTTACATGAATAAAACAGAAAAAGAAATCAATGAATTGGGCATGCAACTAAAAAAGCAAGAAAAAGAACAAATTAAAAATCCCTAATTAAATACCAAATTAGAAATTCTGAAAATCAAATGAGAGATTAATAAAACTGAAAGTAAGAAAACTATTGAACTAATAAATGAAACTAAGAGCTGGTTTTATGAAAAAAGAATAATAAAATATATGAACTGATGCTGAGTAAAGTGAGCAGGACCAAAAAAATATTGTACACAGTAACAGCAACATTGTGGGATGATCAACTACAACAGACTTAGCTCTTCTCAGCAATATAATGATCCAAGGCAATTCCAAAAGACTTAAGATGGAAAATGCTATCAACATCCAGAGAAAGAACTATGGAGTCTGAATACAGATCAAAGCATACTGTTTTCACTCTTTTAATTTTTTTTCTTTCTCATGGCTTTTCTCTTTTGTTCTGATTTTTCTTTCACAACATGACTAATGTGGAAATATTTTTAACATGATTGCACATGTATAACCTATATCAGATTACCTGATATCTTGGGGAGGCAGCAGGGGGAAGAGAGGGTAGGTGAAAAATTTGGAACTCAAAATCTTTTTAAAATGACTGCTGAAAACTATCTTTACATGTAATTGGAAAAATAAAATACTATTAGGTGCAAAAAAAATAAAATGATATCAATAGAAATAAAAACATATGATGAAAATTATAAAGAGGTAATTGCTTACTTTTCATCCTTAGAAGAGTTCATGCTTTCTCCATAAAGAAGTAAAAAAAGACCTTCTTCCACAGAAGCAATTCTTGCCAAAACATCAGCTATATGAATTAAAGCTGTTTCAGAACAATTTGGAGCAGCCTATGTATAGATATATATTTTAAAAGAATAAAGTGAATTATATTATTTTCTTTCATGCTAATGATTCACTCAACCCATATATATTAAAGTAGCAGGGACAAAGTCATATCTACACGACGATAAAAGGAATTTAGCTTTGGTTTCTATAGATCACCATAAAGACTGAACAAAATTTAAGAGTAAACCATAGTCTATTGCCAAAACAGGACCGATCAGCTTAAAAGCAAAAATATTTATTTTTCAATCCAAACTAGTTAATTATTACGTATTTAGCCCAATATTATATGTCCCATTCATGATACTAGAAACAATTTAGTGATTTCTCTTATTCATTCTTGCTCTTCCATGCATTAGTTGCCAACCAGTCTCACTTGTCTGTGATATCTTTGATCCAACCCTTCTTTGGAACTCTTCTGTGTATATTCTATAAATGCTTCACTAGAAATCTTTTCTTTCTTCTTTTTTGTTTTTTGAGTATTGCTATTATTAGGCTCCTTCTATACCCATTCCATGAGTATCATCCAATTAAATGCTTTTTTTTTAAATTTTCACAAATCATTAGCCTAAGATTGATCAAAATAAAAAGCTGAAACACTCAAAATATGTTCTATGTAATTTCTCATGCCACTTTGTTATAGCTAGTGTTATAGCTAGTCATATACTAGCATAGTGATATTATACCCAGCATAACTGATAACCTCCTGCATAAACTGATAGCTATGTACTATGATTAAGAACTCAATTAGCATAAAATATTTCATGCTGGGAAACAAATGAATAACAAAATATTTCAAATATACCACATTACAAAATGAAGTCCTTACTGAATGTCCTCACCAATTCCCAACAGGGTATCAATAGGTCCTCTGACTGCATTTAGTAAAGCATACTAACCTCAGTTTCTTTCATTAAATTATGAATAGGTTCAAGAAATGCATCTATCACCGGGCTCTTATATAAACACTCAGTTGCACACTCTTTTTGATCACACAGTATCCGTAGTACTTCAGTCACCAAACTTGCTGGAGAATAGTCCTCTGATGGATAAAATATAATAGTATTCTGTGAGATGTAATTCAACAAACTATGTAATTAATAAGTCTTAAAGATTTGTTTTAAAATTATTTGGTGTTGGAGATATGAAAAGCAAACAATACAGGATATTCCAAAAAATCTTAATGAAGCTCATTATACTTCATACAAGTTACTGCACTAAGGCTTTTGAAACACCCTGTATGTATTCCCTACCTTTAAGTAAATGGGAAAAAAAAGCTCAACTTTTTTTTCCCCTTGTTCAGTCATTTTTCCTCTTCATGACCCCATCTGGGGTTTTCAGGGCAAAGATACTGAATGGTTTGCCATTTTCTTCTTTAGCTCATTTTACAGATGAGGAAACAGAGGCAAATGGGGTAAGTGATTTGCCCTGGGTCACACAGCTAGTAAGTGTCTAAAACCATATTTGAATTCAGGAAGATGAGTCTTCCAACTCCAGGCTCATCACTCTATCCATTATGCCACCTAGGTGCTTATTCACTACTTATAATAATAGCTTACATTTGCATAATGCTTAAGGTCTGCAGAGTGCTTTACAAATATTTCATTATAGTCTTACAACAACCTTGGGAGATAAATGCTTTCATTATTCCTATTTTACAGTTGAAAGAACTGAGGCAAACAATATGACTAAACAAGTCCAGGGTCACATAGCTACTAAGTGTCTTCCTGACTTCAGGTTTAGCATTCCAATATTTCAAGGATCTGTGCTTTCATCAGTGGGCATTCTCTCCATTTGTGTGGACTGAAACCCCTGCCTTAGCACAAAATGTTATGAATTGTTGTGGCTAAAAAATATCATCTGCTGGCCAGTCTTCTGGAGATGAACACCAGTGCATTTTCTTGGCCCATTCCTTGAGCAACAGACATACATAGCCTGTGGTTTTTCTAACTTAGTAAGGCCTGCCAAAAATAATCCATTGCTATCATAGATTTCAAGAACACTGGGTTATAGCTCCATGACACAGCAACACAGGACTTAACAGGAGTAATTTTAGAAAAGATGTTTTAGCCTTAGCTTTCTAAAATTACTTTCTAACAACTAAAAATAACAAAATAAAACCCAAATGAGATGAATGTTAAGAGTATAAAAATTTAAGTCACTGATACAGGCAGCTTAGATCAACTACCTCACTCAGGAAAAAAAAAAAAAGAATGACGACATATATCTAGAGGCTGCTAGAATGATTAACAATACCCATGAGCGTACTCCATGACTCTAACAGAATTCTAAAAAGTTTCTGTGATACACCTATAATTGGAATAATCAAAGGCAGCTAGAGTTTACTCATCAACAGAACTCAGAAAAGTTGCCTGAATTTAAGCTACACATACATGTGACTTCACGTCCCTAAATCAGTCCAAAACTAAGATTTGGGAAGACACTGTAACCAAGGGTATATAAATGGCTGGTACACTCTTTGTTTTATGCAACATTATCTAATAAATACTATAAATATTATCATACAAATCCTGTAGTTAGATCAGCATTAAACATAATGTTTATGTTCTTTGAAATCTCAAACCTGACTGACATAGTTACATCCTTCAATTACTACAGATGGTATATATCACCAGTCAATCAATAATAATTTTAAAATGTCTAGTCCACACCAAGCACTGTGCTAAGCACTGGGAATACAAATACAAAGAATGAAATGATCCGAATGCAAAGGAGCTTAAATATTGAAGAAAAGAACACTTTAAAAAACAGAATTGGTCAAACAGTAAAAGAATTACAAAAATTTATTGAAGGAAAGAAGTCCTTAAAAGCTCACTAAAGAAAGTCATAACTTCAAAATTAGAATTGTACAGTGAAAGCTAATGACTACATCAGATTTGGTTCAGAGAGAAGAATATGTATAAAAAGATATAAAGATAGAGAGAGAGAGAGAAAGAGAGAGAGAGAGACTTATATCTATGTCTTATATACCTCTATCTATCTATACTCGGTTGGGTATAGGAATCTTTTCTCAAATATATAGGGAACTGAATCAAATTGTAAAAATAAAAGCCATTTCCCAAATGATAATACGTCAAGGGATATGAACTGCCAACTTTCAGAAGAAGACATCAAAGCTATCTATAGTCACATGAAAAAAATGCTCTAAATCACTTCTAAGTAGAGAAATGCAAATTGCAACAACTCTGGGATACCACCTCATAGCTATCAGAAATAACAACTGCTGGATGAGATGAGGGAAAATAGGTATATTAATGAATTGTTGGTGGAGTTGTAAACTGGTCCAACCATTCTAGAGAACAATTTGGAACAAGGTCTAAAGGGCTATAAAACTACACACACCCTTTGACCCAGCAATGCCACTAGGTATATAACCTAAAGAGATCAAAGAAAAAAGAAAAAACCCATATGGACAAAAATATTTATAGCAACTCTTTTTGTGGTGGCAAAAAAAAAAAAGAAACTGAGGGGATGCCCATTAATTGGGGAATGACTGAACAAGTTGTGGCATATGATTGTGATACAGTACTGTCATGCTATAAGAAATGACAAGAAGAATGGTTTCAGAAAAACATGGGAACACTACGAACTGACGCAAAGTAAAGTAAGCAGAACCAGGAGATCACTGTCCACAGGAACCACAATATTGTAATGATGAACAACTGGGGAAGACTTGGCTACTCTGATCAAGACAACGATCGAACACAATTCCAAAGGACTCAGGAAAAATGTTCTCTGTCTCCAAAGAAAGAAGTGATGAACCATGAGTGCAGGCTAAAGTACATTTTTCTCACTTTATTTTTATTTTTTTGGAGGGGATATAATATGGCTAATACAGAAATATACTTTGCATGATTTTGCATATATAATCAATATATTACTGTGAGAATGTGTAACTTTTTTGTTTTTTTATATTAAAATAAACAAACGTTTTCTTTAAAATAAATAAAATAGGAAGCAAAAAAAAATGTATAATGATGCAGATAGTAATAGACTACAACCTGGGATATCTTAAAATTAAGAAGTGGTATATTTGGCAACTGTTAGAGGCCAAACCAAAAGTAATTTTGGGGAAGAATATAAAATTTCTACTTCTTTTAACATGTACATTAAATATTAAGGACTAAGATTTTCTTTTAAAACAAAAGGGAAAAACTTTTAGCCTTTTATAAAGGTGAGTAAATAGTATATGGCTGAAGAATTAGATAAGACAGATGAGAGAACCAAGACATATATGGAATGAATTGGCTCAAATTAGGCAGATTTTTTAGACTGGTTTCTACGCATAATAAATTTTGCTGGATTAGTAGTCAACACATATAGAAAAATTAAGGAAATATATGAAAAAATATATGAAAAATATAAGAAAAAAAGAAATATATGGAAAAGCTATTTTCATAGCTTAAACCTATGGAAATACAATTTTAAGATATATTGTCCTTTTCTATTGTTTGAAGTGTCAGAGAAATCTACTGTTGTACTGAAAATGTTCTGAGCAATTAAGCTGTCCAGCATTTATTCCCTTGAAGTATTTTCAGGATTTTTGCCAAGAAGTGACATGCACACAACATTTATTTGAATGCTTAAATGTTGCATTCTGGAAATTTTTTCAAATACCCAAAGTACTGTAAAAATCATTAAAAAAAAAAAAGCTAAGCTCTTGAGGCAGTCTTACAAGTCAGTCAACCACAGTTAAAGTAAATGAGAATTTTACTGAAAAAAAGGAGTTTCTTATGGAACACATTTTAAAATGTGACTATGACGTTTGAACTTTGAGATTTCAGTAAAGATTGGCAACTTGTCAAGATGTTCCAAAGATCAGATAGGAAGAAGAAAAGATAGTAAATGGCACAAATACATATCATCATCATAATAACTTAGATTACATCTTATTTTATTGGTTGCTAAGTTTACATTTCATAGCAATCCTTCGAGATAAGTAACATGATTACTATTAGTTCCAATCTAGGCTAAGTCCAAAGTAACAGACCTTCTCATCTTTGTGTAATTTAAATACGGATAAAAATGAAAATTCATGAATAGGAAATTAATAAATAAGGGACATCTAGTTAATATCATATTATTCAGAAGCCTCACACCTATATGCCATGAAGGAATTTTTCAGTAAAGGTGAAATATTAAATCAAACATCACCAAAAAAAATTAACTAAAACTTTAGAGACAATAAATAGCTGGTTACAGACATGGAAATCATATCAGACTAAACTGTGACATCAGCCTATCAGGTTATTAGAACAAAAAAGTTTCTTGTTGACCTAATAATCTACAAAGGAAAAACCAAGTGGATAAATAATGCCCAATGAATAGATTATGAGAGACAGTTTGATGGGTTGCAAGCCAATGCAGTGGGTTAGTTCAGTGGCACATATATCTTAGATGGGCACTACAGATCGAAAATGAGCTAACTCCAGAATTAAATAGGTGAAAGATAATGGGTTTTTTGCATTTGTGAAATTATGCAACACTTTAAATAATTTCATGCTGCTCCTTTACTCAAGTATACACCTTTTCAATGCTAACCATTTCCCAGGTCTTGCTATATGTGCCTGCAAATCATGAAATATTGACATCTCTCAAGAATCACAATTGCAAGTAATCAAAAAGGAAAGAGAAATACATACAATGAGTTAAGTAGGCTACAGTACATTACCAGTGCTAAATTGAATATAAGAGGTAGCATAAAAGAAATTATCAGGGACATGAATGTTTAGAAAAGGTTGGGCAATCATGAAGTAAGAAGAACTAATAATACATGGACAACCTAGTAGTTGCAGTACTATCCAAGAAATATTAAGAGACCTACAGCAGTGTTTCTCAAAGTGTTGTCCATGGACCCCTAGGGTTCCTGAAACCTGTTTTTAGAAGGCCCACAAAATCAAAACCATTTTTATAATATTAAAACTTTATTACTACATTAAGATATTCCTCTTTTTTTCCAATACATATCTATGTGGGCATAAATGTTCTTTAAATACTTGAACAAAAATGCATACCATAATA